CCATGATATTGAGCATATCCAAGGAACCATACGATGGTCATTACGTGGCTGCAACATCCGACAGTTCGTGCGCCACTTTCACATGTACAATAGTACTCTGTAATTGAATTTCGTCCTGTTTTAACTTTATCAATGAGTACAAAAATAAGTTGTGAGTGCCGTCAAATGGTCCAAGTACAAAAAGTATAAATACACTTGACAAATACACTTTCTCTGATTATTTCAAAATAGAGTAAAAAGTCTCAGACTCAAGTTAATCATTTCTTTAAAATCTAGTGTTAAAGTAACGGTATTAAATTATCTTTCCAATTTTATATTTATTTTTATATGTATATGTATATTTTTATAAATAAAATAAAATAAGAAAAATAAAATAAAATAAGAAACAAGTGTATAAGAAAAGAATAATTTCTTTAGAGTAACCCTCATAAATTAAAAGATATTTAATAACATGTGCATTAAAAAATTCATTTTTTCGTGCACAGCTCTCCATATTAAATTGAATTTTAAATATTTGATTTAAAATTCATTAATAGCAATCCAAAAAATTCCAGGATATGTAGCCTTAAGTTATTTGACTGAATTTATTATAAAATAAAACATTTTGTATGTAGAGTTCGCCATATTGAATCAGTCATTTTGTATTTTTAAAATCTAATTTCAGATTGGTATTCAGAGATCTAAAAACCGTGGGGATAAGCTCTTTACACTTATCCACTTCGCTTGAAATTCTTGAGTTGAATTGCTTCGAAGCAAAAAAGATAGTACGTCAGTGAACTTTGACCCCCCCCCTACCTCTGATAATAGTTGTCACCTCAACTTGAAACTTCTCTGTGATTAATGTCTCATTATAAGGTAACATTTGGCACACAGTTCAATCTCAAAATCGAGGGACCAAAAAGGGGCGAAAAAACCACCTTTTTTTGGGTCACACTTTAGAATATAATTTAAAGAAACTTCCTATTGACAAACGCATTACTATCAGAAATAGAGCTACACAAGTTTTCAACTCTATTCCTAATTATTCTTATCCGCGTAATAACAACAATAACATTTTAATAAAATTAAATTCGATAACTAACAAGTCTTGAAAGAAAACCCAAATCTCATTTTGACCAGAGCTGATAAAGGTAATGTCACTGTCGCTTTAGACAAAAATGAATACATAAATAAAATAAAAAACATGCTACAAGATGACAGCACATACGTTTTGTTAATAAAGATCCGACTAAAAAATTAACCACTAGCCTACGAGACCTATTACTTAGATGGAAAAATAAAAAATACATTTCTGTACAAACTTATAAATCTCTACTATTTACTGACGGCATTCTTGCAAGAGCATACGGTCTCCCGAAGATCCATAAAAATAATTGTCTATTCAGAATTATAGTCTCCTCAATTAATAGTCCACTCTACTATCTCGCTCTATTTCTACATAAAATTATGAAAAACAGCTTTCCAAAAGCTAACAGCCATATAGAAAATAGCTACGAACTGGTCAACAAAATTAAAGATCTTAATATTGACAATGATTTTAAACTAATATCTTTAGATGTTGTTTCTCTTTTTACGAATATTCCAATCGAACTGGCATTAAAAAGTGTCTCTGATAGATGGCAATATTTGGCTGAGAATTGCGACATTCCGAAATCAGAATTTATGACAGGATTAAACTTAGTTTTAAATTCATCATTTTTCACTTTTAACAATAGTTTTTACCGACAATCGTATGGCACTCCTATGGGATCGCCACTTTCACCTATTATAGCAGACATAGTACTTCAGAACATTGAAAAACAAGCGCTCAATCTTTTAACATTTACACCACCTATTTATTTTAGATACGTAGATGACGTTATATGTGCTGTTCCATCTCATCAAATTCAACAAACTTTAGACATTTTTAACTCTTTTCACAATAGAATTCAGTTTACATTGGAATATAACAATAATAATAGCCTGGATTTTCTCGATGTCACGCTCATTTTAGAAAATAATTCTATTAAGACTGATTGGTACCATAAATCAACTTTCTCTGGTAGATATTTACATTACTTTTCACAACATCCTCCTTGTCAAAAAAGAGGAACAATAATTGGATTGGTTAACAAAGCATTTTTATTATCGCATCCAATTTTCCATACCAAGAACTTAAAGCTGATAATTGATATATTAATTAATAATGGCTACCCTACTAAATTAATTTTTCAAACCATAAACCATCGTTTAAAATTACTGATTAATAAAAACAACAACATTAACAATAGTATTTCTACTCTAAAATCACCTAATTCTTATTTTACCATTCCATATCTACCAACCATATCTGAACAATTTAAAAATATCACAAAGAATCTTAATACGAAACTCTCTTACTTTAGTTTAAATAAGTTAAGCAAACACATTAAAGTACATAAAGATAAAGTTCCAATTTTTTCCAATACCAATGTTGTTTATAGAATTAAATGTGCTGACTGTAATGCATCATATGTGGGCCAAACGGGACGTAAATTAAGTACTAGGATTTCGGAACATAAACTTGACATTAATAAAAATACAATAAATAAATCTGTTATAACTAACCATAGGCTCGATTTCAACCACGAATTTAAATGGAATGAAGTAAAAATTCTTGATAAAGAAAGTTTCCTCGGAAAAAGATTAATCTCCGAGATGATTTACATTAAAAAACAAACAAATAGTTTGAACTTGCAAACGGACACATAATGACCTGACACATATTTAGACAGTATTGACAAACTACCGAAACTCTGAAAATAGATACACAAATATAAGTTAACACCGCTCATTTTTCACCTTTCGATCACTTTGTCTGTGACATTATAAGTGTGCGGACCTCAAGAATCGATGTTCCTCCTACACTACTGCTTTTACGGTGCAATCTAATCATATGTAAAGTCTACAAACTTCTTAATTTTCGTACAACCTATTAAGCTTAAATAAATCAATAAATATCGAATAATATTATAGGATCCAAATCATTATGTGTCTATCGGGTCTAATAACCGGAGTAGAAACACAATTTAAGATTTTGAACCATTACATTATTACTATGTTGGAGGAATATCGCTTTTCTGCATTTTTACATCATGTTCTCTTTCTTTCTTACGATAATAATTGTTAATCATTATTGTATTTTAATGCGTTACATACTTTATGACGTTTTTTACTATACTTGATTTATATATTACCGTTATGACACCGTTTATTATTTATTAAATTCAAAATTTAATCAGCGTTGATAATGGTCAAAATATTGACCGAAACGTTCGCTTTATATTTGTATTTAAAGAGTACTTATGTTTAATTCTTTTTTGTCACCTTTTATTGTAATTTATTAGTAAACATTATATTAAAGAATACTATTTTTATATATGACTTTCTGTCTAACATAATTAAAATTTTTTTATTTTTACTGCTCTTAACGACCTTTTATCAAATTTATTAGAATTTAATAAGAGCCTTGACTTACTACGATTTAATTTTAATTTTATTTTTTAATTAACCAAGAAAGTTATATAAAATAATTTTTTAATTTCCAACATCCTACAAAAAATAATATTAAAAATTTGCAATAATTAAAAAATAAAAAATAAAAAAATAAAAAAAAATATATAGAAATTAAAAATTAAAAAAAAATAAAAAAATAAAAATTTATTTTTAAATTAAAAAATTAAAAAACGTAGCACCGCTAAACTTTAATTGAAGGACATTCAAGCAAAGAAATACATTAATTTTGACATATTGTTTGTTTAATTACGCAGTGCTAAGTTTTTTTACATTCACATGCGCCTGGCGCCCAACTTTACCGTGAGTTAATGAACGCCCCTAAGTGCGAATAATTAACTCTTCTGATACCGATTTTTATCGTTTTATTAGTTAAACTTGGACAATCTTTAAATTGAACGCTCCCCTGTCCGAACTTGGCGTTTCGGCACAGGAAAAGACGTTGCAAAACCTTGGGTTGAACCAATAGTTACAGCTGGAAGTAGCGTTAATACTTCTGCTAATATTAATGATACTACAAATAATACAGAGAACAATGACGCAATAAAATCAGGTAAACACATAATTACATTACATCTAAAATATATAAAGAAAAATAAATAAAATATTTGCACTTATATATACATTTTTGTTTTATATTTTCTATTAAAATATTTTGTAGTACATGCATTTTTTAATTTTTTCAATTTATTAATTTCTTAATTATTTTTTTATTTGCATTGCCAAAGAAACGAAAAATTCAAAACGCAGTAGAAGATTATTTAGAAAAATCTTTAGAAATGAAAGCAGAAAAAGAGATAAATGCTAAAAAAAGACATGAAGAAAAAATGACTCGTCTAACAAGTATTGAAAATTTAATAACAGAAATACTTAAAAAGTAATAACTTTTATATAATTAATATTTTATTGGTTCTTATAAAAATATATAAGACTGTTATGTGTATTCTTAAAATATATAAGACTGTTATGTGCATATAAGACTGTTATGTCACTTTAATATACAATTATGATGAGTTTAATTTTATTTTAAATAATGTAAAAAAAATTGTGATAGTTTCTTTAATAAAGTTTATTGTACATACAAATTAAATTGTGTATGTAAATTAATTGTGTATGTGGATAGATCCCGTAAAGTATTTATGCGTGCATTTATCTATAGTATATGTATTGTAAAAGCTCTAGTATTATTTAAAAATAATAGAAATAGGATCACGGAAAGAACGTAGGAAAGTACTCTCTTGCTTTCCTATGTTATTCCTTGTTCCTGTTATTTTTTATTGTGCAAAAGCTTTTTACTCAGCTTCCTTATGATTGTATGCATGTGTGTGTAAATATATACATAATCTTATCTATTTTTTAATTGTATATTATATGGTATAAGGATCTAAAAATATAAAGATAATATAAGAAAAAAAATGTTTTATAACTTCATACAACTTTATTCAAAATAATTTTCATTTTGCAAATAATATACAATAGCGTTACGTTTCTCAATACCTTCTTCTCGTATAATTTGAGGTATATTTTCGATTTCATATTGTACAGGTTCATTTGGCTGTACAATAATTGGAATATCATCAATGTAATCATTTCGTATTAAGCAAATATTATGTAAAACACAACAAGCACAAATATATTTAGGTATCAAATCAGTTCTTCTCATAGGTAATATATCCAAAAGACTTCGAAATCTTCCTTTTAACAAGCCTATTGTTCTTTTTACCATCATTCTCGCTTCAGACAAACAAGTATTATATAATATTTTACTTGTGCATCTGTTAAATGTCCATTATCTTTAAACGGAACCATTATATATTTTTGGATGCCGTATGCGGCATCACCTAATAAATGGCTATTCTCTGGGAAGTTTTCTGCGGTACACATGTCTTCAAAGCCAGATAATCTAAAAACTCTCATGTCATGCACTGACCCTACTTGTCCTGCATAAACATAAGTGATTTTTAATTCATTATCACATATTATCTAAAAAAAAGAGGAAATAATATTATTATTACATATGTCTGCAGAATTTTTATTCATAAAAAAATATAATTTAATATTTTTACAAAAATACCTGTGTCTGTATAGAGTGATAGCCTTTTCTATTTATGTAAGCTTCTGGATGTAATTTCGGTGCTGCAATTTTTATATGAGTACCGTCTATCGCTCCTATCACTTTTGGAAATTTGTATTTGTTTTTAACATGTGTCCAAATATTTTCTGCTCTTACTCTGTCTGGCCATGTAATGAATGTATGAAGATGTGAATATAATGCATTCACAACTTTGTGAACACATCTCCAAGCCGTTGCTTTTCCGACATTGAATCAATCAGCAACACATCTATAGAGTTAATAAATAAATGCTAAATATTAATATAAATTATAAATGTTATAAATTAAATGCTAATGTCATTCAATAAAACTTACCTATACGAATTGGGAGTTGCCATCATCCATATTGCCAAGAGTAATGTCTTCTCTGGTGGAATAGTATGCCTCCCACATTCTTCAGACTGTTTCAATAATTGCGGAGTTAACAGCTCCAATAAAAAAGTAAATGTTGGTCGACTAAGGCTATGGAAAAACATTAAAATATAACATTTTCTATTTAAATTAAACGTTATATAGTTTATTATGAATTATTATTTGTTATTATTAATTAATAAAAAACATAGTAAAAATATTTTATCTATTGTTTATTGCATAAATTAATAATAACAAGCAATTAATAATAATTTATTTTTATTAAATAAATAACTTACCGAAAATGGCTTTTAAAAACATTGCCAGTATAATGCCACACTACATTTTCAACATAATTTTGGCACCGTACTTTAGGTACACGTTTTACATTATTTTTCACTAATAAATTTAATACTTCTGCCAATCTGAATCATCGTTTGATGATTCATCAGATTCAGCTATTAAATTTATATTTGTTGCAATCAAAAATATTTTCTGATCATTTCTCTCCATTTTATAGATTAATCTGTTGTTTACTTTTGTGTTCACTGCCAGCACTGAAAGTAATGTTCCATTTTAGACATCGTATACGCATTTACAGCACGCTCACAAACATAAAACGCTGTTGATAGCATACTTTTATGACGTCACGCTCACGGCACTGGCAGTGAATTTTGGAACATACCCTTAATAAAGGTAACATTTCATGAGCAGTGAAAAACAGCAGCATTCTGGAAAGTAACTAGATTCGATGACGTACTTCCGGCGCAAGTTTTTGCTGTTTGAAGTTCATCCTGTTGAACAGCAAAGCAGTAAAAGCGCTAAATAGTTATATGCATATGGACATATATTCGAAAGTATGGAACCTCCAGAGGTAAGTTTGTATTAACTATAATATAAAAATATACTATATTATAAAAATAATTGTAAGTTAATAATAGTTAGATAATAATTAGTAATAATAGATACATAGATAAATAGATATATTGTTTTATTATTAAAAATTAATTCAGACGAAATCTATACCCACACGGAACAAAACATCCAATGGACGTCCATATAACCTCCATACCTCCATGCGACCTCTACCTCCACGGTGGACAACAGATGGATTTCTAATAGATATCCATACTATCTCCACAATAGATATCGTCTACAAATTCATCATGGATGTACATTAGACATCTATTATGGATATATGATAGATTTATACATCCTTGCATTGAATAAAATAAAAATTAAGTTTTATTTAAAATTCTTATTTCTGAGAATGTTTTAAAAAATATTGAAAAATTTGTAATTATATATATATTATTCAATTTTCAACTTATATATACGTAACATTTATTAAAACAGTTTTTAAAAATATACTTACATAATAATACAATAGTAATAGCAAGATTAACAAATTGTATGAATCAAAACTTTTTAGATTAAACTGTAATATTTATAAAATTTATTATTAAATATAAAAAATTTTTAATTTTTTAATTAAAAATAGAAAGTATTGAATTTGAAATGACTTTAAATCTTGCAAAAAATACATTAGCTAGTTTTTAATAAAATTACTGTTACAAGTACGCAAATAAATAAATAATGATTAAAAAACATTCAACAATTTAGAAATTAATTCGATAAATAAATATCTCCTAATAATTAATGAAAATTAACGTAGACAATTTTTTTATAATAGAATATATATTTTTATTGATAACGTTTATAAATAAAAGTATAATTATATAATACAATATGTTAATATAAAATTACTACAAGTGTATTTTCAATATATATATAAATTTTTTTGCGACCTTTATTACATAACTCCTAGAATGACAAAGAAAGATAACATACCGAATTTACAAAAGGAAGACTTTTCTCGCTTGATTTTCGGTCTCAATACAAAAACAATGTTCCCAGATTATACATATATATATTTTTTTTCCGATGAGTAACGCGAGGACATTATCTTATAATTAGACAAATTAGGTCGATAAAATAATATATAGATACAAATATTTGTATAGTAATGCTAATTGTAATGATGACAAACATGAACGCTTATTCTCTTATGAAAAATTTTCGTATACGAAGATGACGCTGAACGAAAATTGTGTGTTGTGTGTTGTGTGTGTGTGTGTGTGTGCGTGTGCGTGCGTGCGTGTATGTGTGTATGTGAGATTGGTATATACTTTTACACAGTTAAAAATATATACCAATCAGAGGGATCGCGCAGCATCATTTTCGCATACGAAAAATTTTCTCGCTCCATTTTCGGTTTCTACGAAAAAAATCTTTCCAGATTATACATATATTAATATATTTTACCCGAGTAACGCGAGGACGTCTTATAATTAGACAAATTAGGTCGGTAAAACAATATATATATATTAAAGATACAATTATGTGTATAGTAATGCTAATTGTAATTATACTGACAAACATGAACGCTTATTCTCATATAAAAAAGTTTCATATGCGAAGGTGACGTTGTACGAATATTGCGTGCGTGCGTGCGTGCGTGTGTATGTGTGTATATAAAATAAAATATATGTATAATATATATGTGTAAATATATGTATAAAATATATAATACAATATGTTAAATATAAGAGATATAAGAGAGTTTTACACATATATATACATACATATATTTAATGAAGAAAATATATATACATTGAATGCGTGTGTGTGTATGTATATACACACACACACGCGGGCGCGCGCAATGAAAATGCTTATAACGTTACGTTTTGCAGGAGGACATGGAGCAGGTGGCAAATTTACACCAGACTCTTCTTCGCTTTCCGACGAAGAGTAAATTTTTCTCGCTCTATGTTTTCGGTAATATTTTGCTTCCTTTTCCGTGTCCATATCTGACGTGTATAAAGCTTTCTCTGCCTTCGCATAAGCCTTCTGTAAGGACGCTGAAAATATTATAAACATTAAATATTATAAATAAGTAAAATATTTATAAAAGTCAGTAAAACCCTATACTTAAATATAGTACTTACAATATTCGCCAAAAATTCTTATAACTTCTAATGCGGGCCAATCAAACTTTGGTATCTCCTGTTTCTCTACCGCTTTTCGGATTTTTATATCCGTCTTAAAATGCGAGGGATATTTGCATTTATCTTTATTTTGCAACCAAATTTTTGGTATTACTTGAATACCATCCGGGAATTCTGCGACGACAAAGCCTTGATTCGACATCTTCCAATGCGATTCTAAAAAAGAGCTTCTGCGTGTAATATTGTAATAAAAAAAGAAATCAATTTATATAGATGTGTTTTGTGTATATGTGTATTGTTATGTATATGCATTTGTTATGTATATGTAATTGTTGTCTCAACCACAATTTTGTCAGTTTATTTAAATTTTGTCAATTTATTTTAATTTTTTATTTATAAAAGATATTACAAAGCGGAGCGCAATATGTAAATATTATAAATGTGCGGTGCTTATAAGCGGTATTACTGCGAAATATCTTTCATTTTTATATGGCAATTTTATAAATTTAGATCTAATTTTATGTAAAGGCCAGACTTGAATGTCAGATAATTTACTCACTTTAAATATATCCAAATGAACAGAACTACATGGATTATTATAAAGTTCTTCGACAACCTTAAATTTACGACCTACTGCAATATAATTGCCTTCACTCGATGTTGCGATATTTTCCAAACAAACGATATCTTTATCTATGAGACAACAATTATCAGGAGATTTGACTGAAATAATAAAATGAGGAAATTCAATCTTCGAAAATTGTGGATTAAAACAACCTGATATTAGCGGTCCTCTCTCGTGTGGATTCTTTACATTTATTTTTGAAATATTAACATTGTCAGAATTTACTTTACAAAAACTCATTTCCGCATAGCGATTGCTAATTTGCTCCAATGGTTTTTCAGATTTTCTTAAAATAGATTTTAATTCTTTCATAAAATTTTCAAACGGAAAGGCACTGAAAGTATCTAACGGCCCAAATTGTTTTACGCAATCAGTAATGTGTAGAAGCCCGTGAATATTATGAGACACAAATTCGGGCCCGTAAATTTTAATAAAACATTCAACGAAATATCTCAATAATTTGCTCGCGTATTCAATATATTCAGCCGTACTATTATTTTGACATAAAATACGAACAGCAACATGCAAAGTGAGAAAGTTGGAAAATACATCAGGCTTTAATTCTTTTTGCAATACAACGGGACCGGTATATAACAAAAATTGTCTCAATTCGGTTGCTTTCCACTGTGCAAAATCTTCAATTTCTCGCGGTCTTCTCGCAAATTCTTTCGGAATAAAATGCCTGATATCGAGAAGAAATTTGGAAATATTTTGTATTCGTTGCGAGGATAAATATCTAGCATTAAGAGGACCGCATATCCATAATTTTATTAGCTTCTTAACAACGCCGATACATATCAAATGCATATAATCTAATGGAATTTGAGACACAATGTCAAAATTTGGAATATTCAATAGAATAGGACGACCGAGATGGTATTCTTCTTGGGTTTGATTACGAAAGTTAGCGTCTGTTCTTTTTTGCCAATCAAAATCGGGAAAACAAATTCTATTAGCGATAAAATCACCTTCAATTGTACATTTCGAACAGCTAAAATAACCAGTATGTCCTTTAGTAAGCGTAATAAAAGATTTAGCCGGAGCATCACAAATGATAGAATGTATCGACACTGGGAATGTTGTTTCGTTATAAGTTATGCCTTCATTAATTAAAACTGTAACATTTTTTACAAATTGTTCTAAGAATTGATTTGCATCCGCTGGTTTGGTTTTGCCGAAATAACAACCAATAAGAAATACTTTCCCGTGAGGCATAATACGACCTAAAATGGGCCATAATTGATTTGAATTGGATCGAGATATTGGTAAACCATCAATACCGATTTGAATTTTAATAGAAGATGAATTATTACTTTTAGATAAAAATTGCAAAATACTATATTCCATACCCAAATGACAATATTGACCAGGAAATATCTCATTAATAACGTTAGAAGATCGTGGTGTACGTAATAATGTCTTTGCACATTTTGGCAAATTAGAAAAAATTGGATGCACTTTTTTTAAACCAGACAATAAATGTGATAAAGCTACATGAGAAATACGATGCGTAATAGCCCATTGTACTAAAAATGTTTCAAAATCATTGTTTTCGTTTTCTGAATTATTATCCTCTCTGATAAAGTGTGGCAATACATTGTTTAAAGAAACATCAGATTCGGAGATTCTCGTTTCACTAGAATGTGTTAAATTTGCCTCTTGTGTTTCGAAAAGAGTATTATTCAAATTAACATTCCCAGAGTCATCATTATCATTACTCGAAGCGGAATTATTTAAAATTATGTGCGAATTGGATCTACATTCATTATTATCCGAATTATCCGAAGTAAAATTATTTTTAATTTCGTGCAAATTGGCTCTACGTTCTTCATTAAAGACAAGTGAAAATAATGCGTCACTCTCTTCTCGAATTAACTTACGGCGATACCTCGCTGAAATACGCGACAGACATTTGCGTTTCGACATGGTTGATTGGATTTATTATGTAATATTTGTAACGTATACGTGATAAATGTAACGTATTTTTAAAATATGTAAATAATATTACTGTGTGGGTGTGCGTGTGTGTGTGTGTGTGCGTGTGTGTGTGTGTGTGTGCGTGCGTGCGTGCGTGCGTGCGTACGTGCGCGCGTGTGTGTGTGTGTGTGTGTGTGTGTGTGTGTGCGTGTGCGTGCGTGTGCGTGCGTGCGTGCGTGCGTGCGTTTGCGTGACTGTCAAGTAAAATTATTACAGATTACAAATTATACTTGCTAAATTTTTTTGATTACTCTCCTTGAATCTCCGTTGAATTAATGCGTCTTATACGCATCTACAGCCCATGGGAAGTCAGGAGGAAAAGCGCACGGCGACGAGCTTTAAGGTCGATAATCCTAATAACATTCATGCGAATTAGTATATTCATCATTATATTCGACACGGAATTCTTTACAATTATATGCGAATTGAGGACTCTATACGTTTTTTATTATACAGAAAAGTGTGTAAGTCAAATTTATCATTCTCTTTTCGAGTTTACAGCGTCAGACATTTGCGTTTCGGAGCGATTAATTGCATGTATAGTAATATTTAATCAAATTTAACATTTACAATATATATAAATAATATTTACTGTGTATGTATGTGTAACTGTCAAATAAAAATTATTAAAGATTACAGATTACTTGTTTAATTTTTTTTATAACACTCCTTGTCTAATAGTATATATTGTCCGAGTAATATAATCACAGCTGAATTATTAATTGCATGTATTGTAATATTTACCCAGTCAGAAATCATCCATCGAATTGACATATAATCGACGTCGAAATCATCACAATTACATCGAAGTACATGTAATTTCGATAATTTCGACGTCGATTATATGTCAATTCAATGGGTGATATTTGACTGGATAAATATATATATTACAATACATGATGCCGATTCGATTAATTATTTCTCGCCGGATAACGTTTAACTATATATACGTAAATATGCACACTCAAATAAAAACTATTCAATACTACAGATTATATGCCTTATTTTTTGCCAGCTCTCGTTGTCTACAGTTCATCAGAGGAACGGAACAGCGAACAGCGACGGACTTTATCGCCGGCGACGACGTCCTAAACAACATTCATACATGCAAATTGGCTCTATATTCTATATTCATCTCATTATCCGCAACGAAAGAATTTATAATTACGTGCCAATTGGGAACTCTACGTTTATTACAGACGAGTGTATATGATTCATTACTCTCTTTCTGAATTAATTTTTTGGCGGTATCTCTGGTCATATGCGCGACGGACATTTTGGCGCGCTTTTTATTGCATGTATTATTATTACCGTTTAACTACGTACATACGCACTTTATTCAAATAAAAACTACTTAATATGTATTTCAGATTATACTTGCCTTATTTCTTTGATAGCTCTCCTTGTTCAATGCTAATATCTCCTGTAAAATGCTCACGGCTAATCGACGGCGCGTCTTGCACGGATCGCAGACGGGAACGGAAGAGGAGACGAGCACGGCGACGGTCCGCGGCGTCTGCGAGTCCCTAACAACGCTGGTACATAGCAACGATTGTTAGTTACTATTGTATTATTAATTACAACTAACAATCGTTGCTATGTACCAGCGTTGTTAGGGACTCACAGACGCCGCGGACCGTCGCCGTGCTCGTCTCCTCTTCCGTTCCCGTCTGCGATCCGTGCAAGACGCGCCGTCGATTAGCCGTGAGCATTTTACAGGAGATATTAGCATTGGACAAGGAGAGCTATCAAAAAAATAAGGCAAGTATAATCTGAAATACATATTAAGTAGCTTTTATTTGAATAAAGTGAGTATGTACGTAGTTAAACGGTAATAGTAATACATGCAATAAAAAGCGCGCCAAAATGTCCGTCGCGCATTTGACCAGAGATACCGCCAAAAAATTAATTCAGAAAGAGAGTAATGAATCATATATACTCGTCTGTAATAAACGTAGAGCTCCCAATTGGCACGTAATTATAAATTCTTTCGTTGCGGATAATAAGATGAATATAGAATATAGAGCCAATTTGCATGTATGAATGTTGTTTAGGACGTCGTCGCCGGCGATAAAGTCCGTCGCTGTTCGCTGTTCCGTTCCTCTGATGAACTGTAGACAACGAGAGCTGGCAAAAAATAAGGCATATAATCTGTAGTATTGAATAGTTTTTATTTGAGTGTGCATATTTACGTATATATAGTTAAACGTTATCCGGCGAGAAATAATTAATCGAATCGGCATCATGTATTGTAATATATATATTTATCCAGTCAAATATCACCCATTGAATTGACATATAATCGACGTCGAAATTATCGAAATTACATGTACTTCGATGTAATTGTGATGATTTCGACGTCGATTATATGTCAATTCGATGGATGATTTCTGACTGGGTAAATATTACAATACATGCAATTAATAATTCAGCTGTGATTATATTACTCGGACAATATATACTATTAGACAAGGAGTGTTATAAAAAAAATTAAACAAGTAATCTGTAATCTTTAATAATTTTTATTTGACAGTTACACATACATACACAGTAAATATTATTTATATATATTGTAAATGTTAAATTTGATTAAATATTACTATACATGCAATCAATCGCTCCGAAACGCAAATGTCTGACGCTGTAAACTCGAAAAGAGAATGATAAATTTGACTTACACACTTTTCTGTATAATAAAAAACGTATAGAGTCCTCAATTCGCATATAATTGTAAAGAATTCCGTGTCGAATATAATGATGAATATACTAATTCGCATGAATGTTATTAGGATTATCGACCTTAAAGCTCGTCGCCGTGCGCTTTTCCTCCTGACTTCCCGTGGGCTGTAGATGCGTATAAGAAGATGTCGAATCAAGGCTTTGTCGTCGCAGAATTCCCGGATGGTATTCAAGTAATACCAAAAATTTGGTTGCAAAATAAAGATGAATGCAAATATCCCTCGCATTTTAAGACGGATATAAAAATCCGAAAAGCGGTAGAGAAACAGGAGATACCAAAGTTTGATTGGCCCGCATTAGAAGTTATAAGAATTTTTGGCGAATATTGTAAGTACTATATTTAAGTATAGGGTTTTACTGACTTTTATAAATATTTTACTTATTTATAATATTTAATGTTTATAATATTTTCAGCGTCCTTACAGAAGGCTTATGCGAAGGCAGAGAAAGCTTTATACACGTCAGATATGGACACGGAAAAGGAAGCAAAATATTACCGAAAACATAGAGCGAGAAAAATTTACTCTTCGTCGGAAAGCGAAGAAGAGTCTGGTGTAAATTTGCCACCTGCTCCATGTCCTCCTGCAAAACGTAACGTTATAAGCATTTTCATTGCGCGCGCCCGCGTGTGTGTGTGTATATACATACACACACACGCATTCAATGTATATATATTTTCTTCATTAAATATATGTATGTATATATGTGTAAAACTCTCTTATATCTCTTATATTTAACATATTGTATTATATATTTTATACATACATTTACACATATATATTTTACATATATTTTATTTTATTAATATATAATAATATATTGTTTTTATGATTCATGTAAAATTATATTATATTTAAATTTCTTTAACTTTTCTTTATATTATAGCTTGAATCACTTTGATGATGTCGCGTATTGGAATCAAAGTTTTCAAAACACGTGGTAAAGTATTTATGGCGAACACAAAGTCACCTTACATCGATTCTAATACGTTACATCATCACCGAAATTCAGTATAATTTCGAACGTTGGACCGTTAAGACGTGTTGATACTTTTATTTTTTCTTTTGTAATAAATAAAATTTAGAGTGGGTCCGATGCATCTGGGAAAATGCTAACGATAAATCGTAATCTTAATTTGAAATAAAATTTAGAGTGTTACAGTGAAATGAGAAGTTCATAAAATCCAGACTATATAAATTCTATCAAAATTAATTACTAAAATCTTGACACAGATCAACGACTCAACGATTCAGATGTATCTCGGATACAATGTAAAACTACATCCAATGTACGCTCTTCCGAAAAATCACAATCATCGCAAATTACAAACTCGAGCTCCCATTCATCATTTTTACAAGGTGAGCATTCGCAACATTACATAAAATTTCATATTTATAATTAATATTATGAAAGTTACATATATATATATATATATATATATATATGTCAAAGGGTTTGTTCCGAGACAGTTAAAAATCTTACAGTTTTTAAATACATTTTAATAAAGCAAACTGATTGTGACTTAAAAAAGGTTAATGTTTCTTTCCGTTCTCGAGATATTATGTTTTAAAGTCTTCCAAGACACTTGCATAATGGCAGCTTTCAGGACAATAGTGATTTCCAGGACTGCCCTGGAATAATTCTATGTATAATGGTGTATTCCAGGACAAATAACAGTGTACGATGCTAAAAATGTTTCTATGTTAAGATAAATTCACATTATTACTCCATTTGTCTTGCTCGCTTTCAGGACAAAAGCGAGCAAAATAAACTTGGCCAATGATATTATGGATGCGTTCGGGGAAACGCGGTTAGCGCTATTAACATTTCTCCTTCGTGTTTCTTCTTTCTAAACAAAAGGAAAAACGAAGAAAAAGAAACGCTGGTAGCGCTCTCCCCGAACACACCCTATGTGTATAATGTGAATTATCCTTAAAATACATGTGATCTAACCCTTATTGCAAAACGTTGGTATTACCGAATGCGACACATGCTGTGTGCCGGTTTTGTATGCAGGTTATATAGCCTTGAATTGCGCGGTACTAATATTAGTTTTGATGAAAATATTTCATTATTTTTGGTATTTTTAGCTTTTTACTTTAGCCAAACTATGTTTTCTTTACTCAAATTGAAACATACTAAAACATTAATAGTTGTGAAATCTACTAGTCTAATTAAAAAGAAAAAAGATTATTTGATAAAATTAGACAATGGAAAACGATGGGTTGGAATATTTCTTTGTAAATCGGGTAAGTAAAATAAACTGATTGTGACCTAAAAAAGTTAAATGTTTCTTTCCGTTCTCGAGATATTATGTTTTAAAGTCTTCCAAGACACTTGTATAATGGCAGCTTTCAGGACAATAGTGATTTCCAGGACTGCCCTGGAATAATTCTATGTATAATGGTGTATTCCAGGATGTGAAAAATAATATATTATTTAAATTTTTGGATGTTTAGAACATTATAATAAATATAAATAATAATAAAAAATACAAGAAATTGCAATCATATCCAATTGGTTCAAATGAAAAAATATTTAAAAAATGTTACGGAAAAAATGCAATTAATTTTAGTTATTTTCAGATGAAAGACACACTCTTATAGAAATAAAAAAGAACATAGATACCAACTCACCAAAAATTCTAATAAAGGATGTTAACAAAGGGTCAAGTGACCAATGTGAAAATAATGAAACTACTGGTAATTTTTATATACTGATTTTTTTTATAATTATAATTATTGCCTATTATACTGCATAAATTATATGTGAAAGATCAAATTCTTTAATATTGTTACTTTTAGTATTTAAATACTGAAGTTTCAATATTCTAGCACTGTGCTGTAAGAGAATCTTTGTCGAAAGTACATATCTTAAAATATATCTTATCAGACCTCTATTCTAATATTAAGTAAATCAAATGATACAATAATTTAAGCATTTAATAGAATCTTAATTTAATTTTAATAAAATAAATTTAATTTTAAATAATAAAAATGTATTGCGTGTGAAGAAACATAGAAATGATACTAACGCTATACTAATTATAAGTAATTTCTATACTAATAATTTGTAACAATCTTCAGAATTGCTTCACAAAGTAAATTTAAGAATGCACAGTTTAACATTGTAGATGCAGTTGGTTCACTGATGCAATTTAGAAGAGCAGTGAAAGATATAATAAATTGGATATATGTATCATTAACAAATTATGAAGTATGTAATAAGATAACATAAAGTAAAGTAATTTAATTTATTTCAATAAAAATATATTTAAAAATGTGTATTATGTTATAATATTATTAAAAAATTGTTATAAATAATAAACTGCTATTCTACCCAGATAGCACAATAGTTTGCAAAGAGTTCAAAAGAGTTCGCAAAGAATTTAGTGAAGCTTCAATAAATTCTTTGCGAACTCTTTTGAACTCTGCGAACTATTGTGATATCTGGGTAGCATTACGCAGTAATGAAATCTTTGTCGAAAGCAATTTTTAATGGACACAAACAACAATAAAAGCCATACGTGTAAGTTATATTATTAAGAGTAATATTTACAAAGATGTTTTTGAATTATTTGCAGGTAATGAGCCAATTAATATAACAAATGACAAATGTGCTTCCAATGCAGACACAATAAATCAGTTTCATATTCAACATGAGGAATCAAATACTATAGTAAACTCATATTTAGATTTGGATGTGAAGTCCGATTTTCACAATGATAAATTACAGAGCAATGTTATAACTAATGAAAATTTACAAAGTCATACATTAGATAAAACTAAATCTTCTAAAAACTATCCTCGAATTATAGAAGACAAGAAATGCAAAATAAATATGACTATTTTATCAAAAAGTAGTGACACAACAGCAAATAGTTCATGTAATACATCTATTCTGGGGAATTTGGAACTTTCTGATGTAAATCTTTGTTCGAAATCGAACGGATAAAGAAAGCTGAAAGGAAGGGCATTAATGTATTACAATCAAATTCATGCAATATAAGCATGCAGCATGCACATTACGTATATAAAACCTTAAATTGTAACAGGCAGACTTTAATATTATTTAAATCGCGCTCGGCCGCACAAGTATACATATACCTCGCGCCTGCGAAAAAAGAAGCGCTTGCGTTAACTTTCACTTTAATCGTAAACACCGCGGTCGCGCGAGAGGAGAGAAAATCAAGTGCCAATAACAACAAAATATGACTTGCTAAAAGGTAAATAATTATCGTAAACGTACTTTCGCCCTTAACATCTCGATCGAACAAGGGAAAATGTTCGCGAAGGTTCTCGAAATCCGGGCCTATATAAACCTCCTCTCTCGTGACCGCGGTGCTCTTTCCGATTGCTCGTCGCGAATAGAGTGTGCTTCTACTTTCCGAAAAAGATCGCTTGTCTTTTTCGGTTTTCTCGTCGTCTAATTACCGTTGCTTGCGGAACAGTCAGTAATTTATTTTCGACCCGGCTTTTCTCTCGTTTATTGCATTCATTTCTTATACATTCGACTCGGCTATCTTTTGGTAATTTCTGTGCGGTAAAACAATTGTAAATTTTGTTAATAGTTGAAATATATTTTTGTTAACGATACGCGTGTGTCGAGTGTAGTGCCTATCTATCGTCTCGCTTCCGACCGCCCTTTCCCGCTATCCGTTGTGCACATTTTTTGGTCCTTCGAGCCGGATACTTATCCGGAACCTCCTGTTAATCCGGTGCCACGGAAGCGATCGTGATTAAGTGTCGGTGACCAGTGCCCCTGGAAAAGAGAGACAGTGTGAGAGATGGCAGAAACAAAGGCGATCATTGCCACCGCCACGGTACTATACGGCAAGATCTCGCGCGCGTACGACAACTTGCGGAAGCTCGGCGAGGCCAACATCACCCTCGGCGCAGTAGAGGCCCGGCTTCAAAACCTCGAGAAGCTGTGGAAAAGTTCGACGCAATTAACGATACGCTAGCCGATCGTGTGGAAGAGATAAAACATGATGTCTACGCCAAGCAAGACATCCCGTCATTAGGTGAGGAAGCTTACCTGCAGAATAAGGGCCTCATGCTCGACCTAAAGAGCGCTCTCCAGCGGCGGCTGCAGGCCAGCCAGCTCTACCTCGGCCGTGCCAA